CAAAGTATAAACCTATGTCTTGTCCTGTGTAATTCAGTCAGTCAGTTAAGTGCCATACATGATACATGCTTGGCCAATCATGTCTCTTTTGATTCATGATTGAGTAGGTTGCCATTTCTTTCTGTGGGAGATTGATTGTTAGTCAAGGTTAGAGGACACAGTCTGTCCTGCTATTTGACCTATAGCTGAGGGGAGAAAAGATGGATTCATACCTTTTTCAAGTGAATGTAAGGAACTCAACTGGAATTCAAACTCTGCTCTCTAATTTCTCATTCTGAACTAATATTCATTGCACCACAACACAGTTGGACAAAAATATTTTCATTTTTTGCCTGATGCATGACAATTTCCATGGAAATATGACTACATCTGAAATGTCAGTACCAGGATGGGACACCTGCTCCCTACACTGCTGTCATCTTCTCAAGTTGTTTTTAACGACAGGAATCTGATTACAGCTCTGTACTCTACAGCATCCACCTTATCAAGCATTCATACCTGAAACCTTTTTTTGTATTTGGGCTTGCAAATTGAAATGAATCCCATATATGGATGTGTGCTTTATGCTTTTTCAATTTCGTCTCTTTATGTTCATTGGATGTAGTTCAGGAAAGATTTTTGATTTGTCCCTCCCCTGTTATATAAGTGGATGCTGTAAAGATATGTTGGTTTGACCTACTTCCAAAATCTTACCACATATTAGAATTTTCTTGAGGGAATGGATTTCTTGCTTAATTGGGTTGAGAAATTTTCAGCACAGATTTTTGTTTCTGCATATATATGCATGTGTGAGTGTGTAGATGAACATTAGGGTGTATCTAAGCCACAAATGTTCATATAAATAAAAATAACAAATAATATCTATTATACCTTTTTTTTTATTTTTTTGTTTTTACTAACAGATTAGTTTTCATATTTTGGTGTTGAACATCAAAAGGAATTGTCCTCATGTTATGCTAGTTCTGGTTAAGGTTCCAGGCTCTTAACTGGTTTTAGTCATTATCAAGAATGAAAGTAATTAAATGAAATTCAAAGTCTATTTTGTGATAGTTTGCATCTTATAGATTTTGACGTTTAAGTCTTGAATATTTGTGATGCCATGGAGATGTGATATTAGCTCAGCTGATGTAACAGAGGTTGGCTTCCAAGAATTTCATACACCTTAAAATGCTTATTCCAAAATCATAAGTGATTATTCCTAGTTTTAATATAAATACACAAGCACATATATGATGTAACAATATATAATTATGTATAATTTTATCTATCAATAAACAGTATTTAGAAAAAATATGACAAATTGGAAACCTGTCACAAAAACTCTTTCCAGCGTGTCATATTTTTTCTAAATATATATTTAACAAATTTCATCTGTCAGTGTGACTTTGTCACCCATGGCAAAGCTGGGTTAGTTTGCCTACCATTCACTTCACACTCCTCTCAGGTGTTTTGTACAGGAGTAGAGGTTAATATCTTGTTCTCTGTTTAATACTGGGTTTCTAGTTCATTCTAAAGTTTTCTCATTCTCTTTGGCTCCCAGTAACCCTTTGCGTCTTAGTGACATTATTTCCTTGCTTGGGGTGAATTGATTAAAGCATATATATATATATATATATATATATACACACACACACACACACACACACATATATATAGGTAGCAAGAATTCTTTTGGGTTTTTACTTTCCTGTCAATTCCTGTCAGTTTTGATATTGAAAAATTTAAATGCATTGTCAATCGTTATCTTCTGTCTTCTTAATTCCTTTTCTTTTATTAGCTTATACTGAAAAAATGTAACTTAATGTTTACATTTTCTCAGCTGAGCTTGCATGGGTACAAGTTAATTTCATTGATATGGAATTACTCTTCGAATAGGCAATATATTATGAAGTTATGCCAGTAATATATGAAGTAGAAATGGTTTTATTATCAGTTTATTTGATAATGTGGATCTTTTCCTGTACATTATTGGTTATTGCACTGAGGCTGAGGTTAGCCTTACAGACAAACATCACTCAGAATTTAAGGTTTCTTTTTTAGAATTGTATTAAGATGTGATTTTGGTATATATTATGGTGTATATATATATATATATATATATATATATATATATAAATATATATATATATATATATGACAAATGAAACTTGAAACTAGATTTGATTATGTATCTTGCCTTTCTAGGCTTCATCAAATCACAAAACGAAAGAAAGAGATGTGCTTGTGTGTATGCTTGAATAATGAATCTTAGTACTTTTTACCTAAGCTGGACTTTTAGAAATCAAATCTAGTTTCAATAAAATGTCTTCCATTTGTCAAATTTCTTAAAAACTTTGTTAGGAATCTATATCCTATTTTAAAAACACCCACCCACACATATATATATATATATATATATATATATATATATATATATATATATATAATATATAATATATGAATGAAGAAATATAGTTTTAAGGTATGCTATATATATGGGATAAAGTGCTCAATATCAGAG